GAGGAGCTATTTTCTTGATGTGAGCTTCTACTCAGGGTGTTTTCTTCCAGTTCAGAGCAGAAATTCTTTTGTTAAGAAACTGGCTACTGGCTACTAATGGAATTAGTTTGCTAACAGCAACAGGGATGAGTCAGTTGGGCTTGTGAATCATGATTCACGAGTCAGTAAAGTGATTCTCGAGTATTGAACGATTCGTTCACGAATCAGACATCACTACCACAAACATAAAGAAGCTGGAGGATGAACGGTAACTTTTCCCTTCAACCTGCACCTGTGGAGTTTTAGACACAACACCAGCTCGTTAACGCTCAGAGTTTTAATAAATACAGCTCAGCTGCGAGCATTAAACAATCTGCCGTGTGTGGTTGCAGCAAAAGACTATCATTTAAATATTTCATCACGACTGATAACACTGTATCAACCATCAGCTCAGCCACTTTGTCTTTTATTAGCTGCAGAAAATGTTTCCATCGAAATCCCTCCAACCCAGAGCCTTTGGTTGTTCACTGGTGCCTCACAGACGTGATTCTTTAGACTTGTGTGTGCGACTGTTTACTAAAATGAAAGAAGGCATGAGAGCAGGAAAATGCAGCCTGTTCTCTTCCTTCTTCTTAAGGTTTAAAAGACATTTTAAGCAACAACTTAACTGACTTCAAATTTGGATTACTTTCTGTTCCATAAGTAACGACTTTTTAAAAATGTCTAGAAACAAATATCTGCATCTGAATATGTATGAAGCTGCAGGCGATCGACACATTTCTGTTACTTTGTAACCAGAACGCTGCTGACCAAGCAAGAGGTCAAAATATCAGGTGCCTGCTGGTGTCAAAAACTAGTTTATGAATTTAAATTACTTTTTAGTGCATGAAATGAAGCCACACTGTGTGATCACATGTAAAAATGAAAATAGACAAACGTTCTGTATTAAACCGTTTTATTGAGCAGCGCCGTTCCTTCCTCTGACCAACATGATTCACAGTAAGGCCACACTCTGCTCAGCCAGCCACACTTTAGACTCAAAGTGAGGTGGTCACGCTTTAAAATCAGAGGCCGTCACATTTACACAAGAGATGATTTTTATTGAAATGTTCAACGTCTCACTTTGACAAATTGTCCCATTACTGGCTTGAGAACTGTTAGAATATTTAAATATTGACTAACAAAGCAGATTATACACATGACCACTTGTTTTCATACATTTGTGTCTGAACCTCAAGCTACAGAAAAATAGCGTCACAAAAAGCACATCTGCAGCCGCGTGACAGCTGCTGGCCGATGGCATCATCAGTCTTTTAGGGTCATCAAACATATCGATGGACCACCGAGTGCTTTCGTCTTACTGTCCCTCTCACCTCCAACTCCCCCAGAATGTGCACTGAAGTAAGGTTAATTACATTTGACAAAGCCTTGGAGGTCTTCCAGGAACTTGATGTACTCTTGATGCTCGATGGCCGTGCTCAGCTCCGTGAGCTCATCGGCGAAGGTGTTGTCGACCCCACGGTCAGCCAGGAAGTCCATCAGATGGTCATACAGGGCCTGAGAAACAGTACAAGAAAGTGAGCAACCTTGAACACAGCGGCGGTTTCAGTGACTGTTATAATTGAACCGTTGCTGTGTGACTCTCACCCAGTCCAAAGAGTCTGTGTTGAGGTTGTAGCTCGTCTCCTTCCACTCTGAGTCTCCCTGTGGCTGAAAACTGACCTCTCGAATGGCAAAGATGTCGCTCTCCTCTTCTCCCTCACCGTGACTCATCTACAAAATACAAATGTTTCACT